TTCTTAGTTTTCAAGTGCAGTGTTCCTTCTACATATGTGTGCTTCAACAGAAACGCCTTGTTTTGCAACTTTAATGTAATGCTGAACTTTCTTTGTATCTACCATACTGGTTTGTTGCTCCACTATCCACTACAAAATCAATAGTACCATTTCCAGAGTTACAACTTTCTGAGGTTAAGCATGTAATAAAAGTTACTTCCTGGTCTTCAGCAATATTTGCATTTCTTTTTGGGTATTTATTTTGGTTTTCTTGTTTATTCTTGAAACAATCCGATTTCTTATGTCCTCGTAAGCCACATCCATAGCATTTAAATGGAAAATTTCCCTTGTGCATGCCTTTCTTTTTCTGTGCTCCGAAAGCCTGTGTGGAACTTTCACCATGACTTTCACATTTCTTTTGTCTAGACTCTTCTAATAGCAACTTGCTCTTGACAAAATCTAGGGTAACAGCTGCCTGATTCTGACAAAAGTAAATGTCAATTGCTGTAGTCACAGTTTGATAATTTTCTGGCATGGCTGCCAAAAGTTGGGGTATCACTTCTGTGTCGCTTATGGTTCCACCACCATTCTTTAGTTCCATGACCGTTTTTTCAAATTCTATCAGAAAAGCATTCAACGATTCAGCTGAGTTGAATTTCATATTCCTCAACTTGCACTGAAGTTGCACCTGTGTAGCCAATCCACTTTTCTGATAAAAGGTTTCCATAATTTCCTTAGCTGTGGTTTTCAACTTAATCATTTCCAGCACATTGTCCGCTAGACATTGAACAATCAAATTTCGTGCTTTCAGATCTTTCTTCTGCCATGCGGTGAGTGCTGTTAGATCTGTTGCTGTTGGCGGATCCTCCGTCAAGACTCCCAGAACATCATGGTGTTCAAGTAGTAATTTCACTCGAAATTCTCAATTATTGTGTCCAGAACCATCGAAAATCACGGTAATTGTTCCATTTGTTCCACTACTTGATGCCATATTTACACTGGTCTCCGACTGCGATTACCTAACCTTTTTGTCACCGACAATAAATTCCACTTCAAAACGTTTTTCCGCGAACTACTCTATTTCCGCGACTGCCTGGTTACTGGGCCCATAACCTATTAACCAGAGGCTTTTGTTTTAAAGACTTTCATTTAATACGATTACGAAAGGTTTATTCTAATGAAATAAAATATGCTCTCACAGCTGACGAACAACAACAACTTAGATGACACTCATGACAGACAGGATGTCGAAAAGTCATACATAAATTTGGGGTACGTTCGCGGAACATTTCGATGTTCACATTTATGAATAATTGTAACATTAACACATAGGTCTGTTTCGAAATAGTTATTTACATTACAAGTGCGTTTATGAACGTGATTACAATAACGAGTGTGAAGGATTAGAACGACGAGGTCGTAGACCGAGTCGTTATAATCACACGAGTTTTGTAGTCATGTTTAAACGCATGTGTGATGCACAACGTTTTATCTGCAAAGCGAGAAATAAGCAAATATTTTCTCAATTTTCGTTTATTAGTAGTTGTCTACCTTAATTTTACCTTTACAGGTTTAACTATGACATTTGTCAAATCACAAAAACTAGTTGTGTTATAGATTCATAGCCTAGTCTATAACACCACTAGTTTTATGAGCCTCATGACATAACTCAAATACTAGAACAATGGTTATGTGAAAACGTCATAACCAAACGCTTGTAGATAATAGTATATTACATGCGGAGGTAGAAATTGTTTCATTATTGTCGAGAGACTATGGTCGAGACAATATGAAAACTTTCCACCGAAGTATGTATACTATTTTATTTTGAACCAATATTTATTGGAAAAAAAATGAGGTAAAAATATGACAAAAATGGAATTTCGACTGACACTCTGACACCGACATGACATATTATGAAATTTCAACAATATAAACACATGTGACATCTACTTCTTAATACAAACATTGCACCTGGATTTGTGTTTAGGTGTGAAAGGACAATTTATCAGGTCGAAAGTGCATTCTCCAGGCCGAAAGTGATAGGAGAACTGTCACTTTCGGCCTGCTTTGAAGTAAACAGAAGTAAAGTGATATTTTCGAACCTTGAAACCAGTAAGAAATGTGAAAATTATATATATGGTTCAAAATAATAGTATATTACATACCGAGGTGGGAAGTGTTTCATTACTGTCGAGAAATTAGCTAGTTAACTGAGACGCGAATCGTCGAAGTTCACTATAATCTCGAGACAGGAATGAAAATTCCTACCAAGGAAAACTATTTTATTTACAACAATTACAACCATCACAACTTTGACTAAATACTATATAAAAATTTAAAAAAATTATTAACAAGTTCTGACTTATCTAAAAAAACGTTTGACATGCAGGACTTGAAAGTGAGCACTTTCCACCCGGGAGGAAAGTAAAATTCAAAAAAGTGTCACTTTCAAACTTTTGAAAAGTCAGAAATGTCAACATTACGTATGTGGTTGTAAATAATAGTATATTACATGCGGAGGTAGAAAGTGTTTCATTATTGTCGAGAGACTATGGTTGACCGAGGTGCGAAGCGCCGAGGTCAACCAAATCTCGAGACAATATGAAAACTTTCCACCGAAGTATGTATACTATATTTTATTTTGCTTTTGTTTTGTCTGAGAATATTCTCTATTATTAAAACGAGTTGTACCGGGTGATTGTCTATATTTTACACCCACACCTATCTCACCTGTTTGAAGAGATACCCAGAAATGTCAAATGTGAAAGTTGTAGGTAATATCAGAAAGTTTTCAATGATGTTAGTATACTGGGTGTGTCACAAAAGTGTGGCGAAGCAAAGTTATACTTTTTTAAATGGAAAACCCCATATATTATTATCCCATTGGATTAGCCCTTCAAACCTGATTCCAAATATACTAGGTTTTTTAGGTTTATTCCAAATAGTCCAGGAGAAAATTGGACAAAAAGGGGTGGAATAATTGCATTTTTATTGAGAAAGGTTAAGTATAGAGGCCACCAGCAAAATATAAAGGTAATCATTCATGTAAAAAATCCATATTATTTCTTCAAAATGGGATATTCAGAGACTGGACTATGAGGAATAAACCTAAAAAACCTAGTATATTTGGAATCAGGTTTGAAAGGCTAATCCAATGGGAAAATAATATACGGGGTTTTCCATCTAAAAAAGTATAGTTTTGAATCGCCACACTTTTGTGACACACCCTGTATACTTGTAACTAAAATTATTGAAAACTTTCTGATATTACCTACAAACTTTCACATTTGACATCTCTGGGTATCTCTTCAAAGAGGTGAGATAGGTGTGGGTGCAAAATATAGACAATCACCCGGTACGTATGCTATATAGCTATATTTTTCAGCATTTTGTATCTAGGCGTCGCAGCCTTCCTTAGTGAAAGTTGTGAGATTATTTATGTAATAATTTTCAAAATTTCGTGCTTTCTTCTTATTAAAAATATAAATTTTATACATATTTTCTGTCTTACAAAAGTGTATGGTAGAAATAATATTGATTTATATTTCTAGAATACATAATTTTTGTGGTTGCCAGTACTTACCAATTTTTGCTATGCCATTATATGTATTCTCTTACCTACTTGAATTTTACTTTCTATTTATTATTTATAATATTGAATATCTCTTCAAATTTGCGGGAAATTGCTTTTCACGGCCTAATTTTCATATTATATGTCAGTAACACGCAGCAGCAATCGAGACACCATTGTATTTCCAAACATAAATCTTCAAATATGGAATTTCCAAGTAACCACTTTTCCTAATTACTTCCTAAACCCCAACAGGAATTCATTCTCAAACGGATTATAATTATATATCAAGGTGAAGGTATATTCCATAGAACGATGAATCCCTTTTGAAGTATTTACTACTAATTCAAGCAATATGATATTATTTCTGAAGCTTTTCTTGGTGAATTTCTAGACCCAATATTACGTTATCATACATTATTTTATGCTTTGATGCCCCATTTTCATTTTTCTTCCCTTTAATGTCGAGTCTACTATGCTTTCCGCCCTCCTATTTTCTCTCTTTAGGGGTAAGGTTACTCTGTTTTAAAATAATTTCCGACATTCGTCAAAGAAAAAGTATTTCGATAAAGTATTAATTTTGAGAAATTACATCTCTTGTTTCCTAGTGAATTAAAATCTTAATAAAATACAGGATTTACGAAATAATGTTAAATTTATACCAAAATTTTCTTGGCTACACTAATTTTATTTTGATTATAAGCCCAAGTTTACTAGAAACAATGGGCTTACTTCGACTTAGATTAACGAGACATATATTTTAGCTAATAAGTTAAGGCTTAATTAACTAAGGGGAATATATCGTAAGATAAATTATTTAAATTTTAATACTTTATTCTTGATTGTAAATAGATATTACAGCGGTCTTTGGATAAAAATATAAAAACCCAAAGGGTTCCATAACCGACAATAATAACGGATATTTACATAAAAATGTTCGAGGGGAATGTAATGATGACATGAATCGGCTAGTTTGAATGTATCGGTTACCCCATTTTTTGGTATATTGGGAGAGAAAGGATTTTGTGCCTAAAGTATGCAATGAAATTTTATTTATTTTTCCTTTTTGTGGTTTTAAAATAGAATATGTTTACCAAATAACCCAATAGGTTATTTTTGAATTACCAATATAACCGACTGATGACCAAAACCCCATTTTCCTATGTTGAACCATAAAGCTTATGTTTCATTAAATTTTAATTATTTTATGTCATAGCCATAAAATCTTGTTTCTATCCTACTTGCAAAATCACAATTGGGGCAAACAATGAAATGCAGGCAATAAAAATACAATTTTCAATAAAATTCCAAACCAAAATCTTGTCATCATACTATTTCACACTCTACAAAAATTATGAAACTTCCTCAGACTAATTTACTTTAATGAGAAAAGTTTCCTTTAATGAGGTTTTTAATTAGTTTTTGAATTTAATTAATTTTTTTCTAGGTGAAATCATGGACATCGTGGCACTTATAAACTCCTCCATTAATTTCATACTCTACTGCACCATGTCCAGACAATTTCGCGTGACTTTTCAAGAAATGTTCAGGCTTCAGAAAATCAACACTTGGCTGGTGATCAAGCGGAACAATCCGAAAAACTCGCAAGAAGAAAACGGCGTCGACACCAAAATGTCGCTGATATAACAGTTGCAGAGTGCTGAGGTTTTATAGAAGAAGAATAACCTTAGCACAACAGGCAATTAGAAATTTCTAACTTGAGAATTTTTTATTGTTAAAAGTAAAGTTTGTGCCCACTGTGATAATATTAGATTTATGTAAAAAATATAATATGATATGCCTGGAGGAATTTTATTAATAGGGCTCCATTGTTCGATTTTCCTCAAAGCATTCCTTTGACCTCTTCAGAAAAACTAATATTAATGTAATCAATACCTAAACGTCCTCTGAATAGAGACGAAAAATGATAAGTATAGAAGGGATAGAATATCCTATTGAATGATATTTTCCTTTTTTTCGTCTAAAATCGAAGACCTTTTAAGGTCAGGTTATCCAACTTTACTTTTCACATCTGCCTCTAAATTTCATTGAAATGAAACTGGAAATGTCTCCCTGCATCAACGTTTCGTGTTCAATTAAAAACATCCTCAGTTTCAATTATTAATTAAATTAAACTTGAAGATTACAATGATTATTTGCTAGAAGTGGGGACAAGGAGATTTTGTGCTAAATTATCTCATAGGCTAAGTCCCAAAGAATGTTTATCTTCGTCTCTCTGCTTAAGAGACCATTGTTGAAAACTTTCGCATATTTAGACGAAGAAATTATTTATAATATTATCTAGGATATTGAAGAAACTGTACATTTTGTGAATATTTTTCTATGTATTTCTATTTTTTCATATAATATGTGTTTAATAAATGTTTATCTACCTAGAATCTTCCCAATAACTTCTCTGCATTTGAGGTATAGGCAATTGTATAATTGAAATAAAAAATGTTACCCATTGCAAATAAGCATAACTTCGCTGTATGTATAAAAGCTATGTATTTTGTATGTAATAAATAAAACTTCTATAAAACAAATATATGACATTTATTTGAAGAAGAAAAAATGATCAAAAGAATACGTACAATTGTACTAAAACAGGTAAGTACACACATAGAATTTTTAGCCAATGAATTTGTTTATCCACAATTTTTTTTTGTGTGTGTTTTATGTTTCTCTTAATAGTGCAGCAGCTTAGCTACGATATTTCAACACATTGTGCACTTTTTGATAAAGGCACCAAATTTGGCACAGAGGTAGATCGGTGTAATATGAACAAATCTGGATGTGGAGCCATCGGCCAACTGCCCCCGGCGGCCATGGCGGCGATTTAATAGCCAGTGGACACTCCGAAAGACAACGGATAAGATAAAGTTTGCTACTGAAGGTTTTAGTGAATGTTTATTGATTGTTTTGAATGAAAACATACCTGCCGGTTTTTAAGTTATACAGGGTTGGGCACGAAAAAATTCCAACCTATGTTTTCTCAGTTCTTGTCTCAGATTTCAGGTGATTAATCAAAAATCGCTCGGACACGTTATTTTTTGTTTTTTAAGGGACACATTTTATCATTCATACCCGCAAAATTTCAAGTGGAAAGGGGGTTCGAGTGATCCATCAAATTGCGTATCACCTGACCCCCCTTTCTGTTCAAAATTTTGTTGGTACCCCTACCTGTCACCCCTGCTCAGATGTTGACAGGTAGGGGGTGAAAATATCAATAACTGGTCGAGCGACTTTTGATTGTCCCACGACATTTTACCCAATTTTCCCACCCAGGTTTTCTCAGATGTTAGGTGAATAATCAAAAAACGCTCGACCATTTTATTGGTATTTTCACCCCCCTACCTGTCAACCCCTAAGCGGGGGTGACACGTACCCCCAAAATTTCAAATTAGGCTCTCCAAACCACGTGATTTTTCAATATGGCGACAGTGGAAAATTTGACGTTTGTTTGTTTATCTTGAGTTTATTTGGAATATTTTCAAGCTAATTAGAGTTTACTTTGTTATAATATACTTTTTTTTACTACTAACCTGAGAAGTAGTCATTATTCAATCTATTTTTCTCGGAAAAAATTGAATATCTCTCCCTAGGTTAATAATGAAAATAATGAAAAAAAACCTAGGTCAATAATGAAAATGACGTCATGACGCAAGGATATTGTCATAACGTTACAGGTTTCTATTGGTTTAATTTCAATTTCAAACTGTCAATTTAATCAAAAAAACAGGTTCCTGTATGTATCATAGGAAATTACCATAGATGTTGATAGAGGGCAGCACTTCCAACTAGAAAAAATAATTTGAGCACAGATTTCAAACTTATTTTTTATTTTCTACTATAGCAGTAGTAACAAAAATTCTATATATTCCACGGTAGAGAAAGTCATTATATACCTTACGCGCCGAGGTTTATAAAAGCGCTCGGTATATAAAGACCAACTTCTCTACCTAGGTATATAATGTACTATTTGAGATGCAGAGTGAATATTTAAAGACTTGAATGCAGGAAAATCGGGATGTGGACGAACGGTTAGTTTGAAAAAATGTCCAGTTGACATTTTGACCCACATTTTTCATAAATTTCACATCAATGAGCAAATGAAGGCCTACAAAAGCTTAGATTCTCACAAGTATTTTGAGTCTGGCTTAATTTTGGATGCAGGAACAGTGGTAGTGAAAAATTTTCACGTTTTAATTGGAAAATTTTGTAACAGAGGGCAATGAAAAAAGCCTGACTTCATCTTTGTTAGGTACCTTGTTGTAACTACTTCTACAATCAACTACAAGACACGTTTGTGGCATTTTTAATTACAAGATACACTAATGAAGTCAATAAAATAAAAAAATAAATAGAGTTCATTCACAAAACAACCACAAAATGCACTTTAAAAAGCTTTAAATTCCATACTCTCATATAAAAGATAATGAACTTCCGCCCACAACGCACTTTTTGACAGGTCGTTGGAATGCCTGATAGAAAGGGGGGTCGAGTGATATGTCATTCGATGGAAGGTTTTATTAAGATTATATCCTCGAAATTTTAAGTCGCGGCAGGGTAAATAGTCCCTGCCGAAATGGCGACTCGTCAAAGTTAAGAAATATCGAGGGGTGAACCACTCACGAAAAAACGTACAGTGATTTTCAGTTTCTAGGAATACTTCTCAAATTTGGACAGTATTTTCAAGTATTCCTCCTCGTATTCTCCAGTATTCCCAAGTATTCCCCCTTGTATTCCCCGAAGGGTCAAGTTGGTTAACTTGAACAGCGATATAACTAGGCCATATGCCAATTTTTGGCTTGTTATTGAAATTTGAATTTCCCACGCATAAAAATTCGTTACAAGTGTGTCTCATTTATATCCTGAATTAAAGGTATTTTCTCGTGTCTCAAAGTTTTGAAACATTTTCCGAAACTGGTTTAAAACAGTTTCACAATGACGTCACAACTTTTCGGCGCGAGAAAATTATTTTAAAACAAAGAATGTATTGTATTTCGAAACGGTTAGAACCAATTTTGATGTGACCTCATGGGTTCATCGCGAGAATATACTGTTTCAAATCTGTTTCGAACCAGTTTCAAAAAAGTGAACGCGAGAAAACAGCTTTGTTTCTGAGAAAAACATTGAAATTTGTTACTTTTACAAAGTGACTCATAACAACAAGTGACAGAAGTTTGGATTTTAATCCATGATTACATGATTAGTAATTACAGTGAATAATATTGCATTGAGCATGTTCAACCGTGAGAGAAAGATGTTGATGTGAAGGTAAGCTTTATTCTTATCTTAGAATTTCAAGTAATGGAAACACGCGCCGGTAAAAATACGTACAGTGGCAACTAGAACGTATATGATGTTGCCAACTGGAAAATACGTTCCACTTGAAATTAACATTGTATTGTACATATTCTCGTTTGTTCTAGAGCAAATATGGTCAGGAATTATATCCGTAGAACCTCTAAAGTTCGGAAGGTGGAACATACACCAAGTTGGCCCTGAAAAACCAATTGAAGATGTCCAAAACACTGAGAGAACAATATACGGTGCTACCAATGACGTTTTCTATGACATCTCAAGATCCGCAATGAGATTCAAAATATTTGGAACCAGAGGAAAAAGTATACACCGTGATATACGTAGCCTGCGCATTAGAAGTTGTCCAGTTTGCAGGTGGATTAGTAGAAATAACATCTAATCCACCTGCAAGCTAATGCACGGGCTACGTAAATCACCCTGTATTGTCGGTAGCAGAATAAGGTGGTGGAGGAATATATTAATAAAGTTGAAGAAAAACTGTTCATTGTGCTGCACACGATGCAGAAATGGAGATATGAATTATTTACAAAGAAAATAGGTTTCCTATTTTATTTTTTGTTCATTTTATTAAACGTTATATTCTCACGACAAAGTAATACATTTCTTGCATCTCCCATATTTCCCATATTTCTTGAGCAAAAAAAAAAATAAAATTTGGTATAGGATCTTTGGAACAGTTGACCAAAAAAAATTGGAACACTCAACCAAAGTCAAAGTGGACACTGAACCAGAATGAACATGCACGCAATGGAAATTCCCTAAAATACGTTGATAGTGGGGTTGGAAATTATAGAAATTTACTTCCTGAAGAAATTCCAACTCACGACGGCCATTAAGTCCGAACGAAAACACTTTATCAATAAACCTGGGCCGCGAAAGCCTCACATACTTAATTAACAAGTACTTCCATGTATTTCCAAATTATTCCCATGTACTTCCAGAGTCTTCTCATATACTTCCAGAGTATTCCCAAAGATTTCCAAGTATTTCTAGGTATTTCCAGAGTATTACCAAGTATCTCAAGGTATTCCCAAAGTATTCCCAGCAAAGTGTACAGTGATTTCCATGAACGATTTACCCCTCGGGTAATATGTAGTTTATTGTATCACTCGAATACGTTCCTTTCCATTTGAAATTTTGCGGGTAGAAAGTGGAAATACCAATAAAATGTGTCTCTCAAAAAACAAAAATTGACGCGTCTGAGTAATTTTTGATTAATCATCTAACACCTGAGAAAACATTGGTGGGAAGTTTTTCGTGCCCCACCCTGTATAACTTAGAAACTATTTGGCATGTTCTCATTGAAAACAATGAATAAACATCCACTAAAACCTTCAGCAGCAAACTTTATCTAACTTTCGTTGTCTTTCAGGGTGTCCACTGGCGGCCATTTTAGAAATTCGCCGCCACGGTCGCCTGGGGGCAGTTGATCGATGGTTCCACATCCAAAGTTGTTCATATTACATCGGTCTACTTTTGTGCCAAATTTGATGCCTTTATCAAAAAGTGCACAATCGGTTAACTAATCCGCTGTACTATAAATCAGAAGTGTTGCAAAAATCTTGTAAGCTCCTAGCATAAAAAAGTATAACTTAGTGTGTGGACGTAAAAAAAAACAATCACAGAAAAATTTAAATCAATTTTCGACTTAATGTAAATGTAATAACTCTTATTTTCGGTATTGTATCATGTGCTGGATCAATTTAATACTGATTATTGTTAGAATGTTTGTTAGGTATATCAATAATTTAATACTGTAAGGATTTTGGTATGATCAAGTTCTAAGTATGAGCACTTTGGTGATTCGTTTTCTTTTTTTTGTCAATGTTCAACACTCATCAAACTTCACATTTATCTTTCATTGTAAACCCACCTTCTTGAACGTAGTTTTCCTTCGTTTGGCAGCTGCAGTTTAGGTGATTTTCTACTACGATATATTTTTCTACAGGCGCGTCGAACGATATGTATTGAAATTTGAATTTTATACAAATCTGTTCTTTTTTGCTAGCTGTACAAAGTTGGGTGTTTGGACAACAGCCTCCAGTCGTCTTTCGACATCTGAAAAAAAAATGATTTTGATTGAAAAGTTCGTTGAATTCCTTGATTTTTGAACAGCCGCTTTTATTTTCAAATTTACAATTGAAAGTCATCATAACTATGTTTATTTAGTGATAAGGACCATGACCTTTCCTTATTTAGATCATCACCACTTATACTTATTATGGGAATTTGGATTAAGGTAACTATGTGGTAATTTTAATTTCCAAGCTAATTGCAGCCTAGACAGCAAAATGCTTATTTTGCGGACTAGACAGGAAAAATGCTGACTATAATAGTAGAAATACTTATAATGACTAGAAAATACCGTTAATGCGGTTTTGTCATGGAAGCTTTTTTGGACGCTAACTATTTCTTGCAAAAGCCATTTATACGAGAAAACCTTGGAGATAATTTGTTCTTTCTTTCAAGCATTGAAAATGGAAAAATTAATATATTTGAAATTTACTCACCGATTCAACAAAATATTATGCGAAACCAATACTGATCCTTCATTTTTGTTGTCAACCAAGTCCTTCAATTTATAAACTTCCATTTTGGGATCGCCACAAATAAAACTACCACAATGATCGAATCCCAATTTTGTTGTGTCAATAACATTTGCAGCAAACACTAAATTTAAAACCAATAATACTAAAACGATAAAAACAATAATGCGATAAATCATGTTTTCGCCTACTCTATAATGCAATTTTTTTTCCGAATGCAATAGGGGGTCCAACAGGAACATAACAAGCCGAACCTTAATAATCGAAACAACATTTTCACTATATGAACTAGGAAAAAATTGAATTGTTCTCACACAAACTAAATTATGGCAATATGAAACTGGAACTATTTTGCGTCTACTGGGAGTGCAACGTTATCGAAATCCGCGATGATAACCTATTGGTCTCGGTTTGTTTGGTGCAGAAAAGAAAAAATCTCTGTCCACCGGGATTTACACCAATTTAAGTGATGATATTTTTTTTTGATGATAAGAATAATTAACTGGTTGAATTTAATTTGGCCACATGTCTCTGAGCTTCTCTAGGTATCGCTTTAGGAATGTTTTACTGTAATGATTTAATGATATACCAATAGCAATTGAAAAATATATACAGGGTGGGCCAGCGAAAACGAAACAAGGTCGATATCTCGTATTAAACGTTCATTGAAAAAAATCGCTCGGACCCGTCGATTTTTATTCGGAGAGGGAAATCTTTTGCACATATTTTTAATGTTGTCACTTCACTTCAACCCTCTCGCGGGGGTAAGCTCCAACCCTTAAATCTTAAATGGCAGTAGGGGTCAAGTGATACCTCATTTCAAAGGTCATCGAATTCTCTTTCCAACGGTGCCTATTTTTTTAAATTTGATGCAGTGGTTTTCGAGAAAACGCATTGAAAAATAGACGGAACTAGTACTGTTTTAGTCATTTTGAGCACTGTCAATTTTGTAGTTATTAGAATTTTCACTGAAGAAGTGATTTTATGTATTTTTTTTTTTAGTCGTGTACTATCCAACTTGAAATCATAAGGTTTAAGTCTAGGTTTTTTTTATCAGTCAATAAAATTCAACTAAATACATTCTAACTTTAAATATTTTTTGAAAAAAAAAAAAGTTAGGTATTAAATTCAAAAAACTAGGCACCGTTGAAAAGAGACTTCGATGAACTTTGAAATGAGGTATCGCTTGACTCCTACTGCCATTTAAGATTTAAGGGTTGGAGCTTACTCCCGCGAGAGGGGTGAAGTGACAACATTGAAAATATCTGCAAAAGAATTCCCCCTCCGAATAAAAATCGACGAGCCGAGCGATTTTTTTCAATGAACCATGAATACGAGATATCGACCTTGTTTCGTTTTCGCTGGCCCACCCATATGTATATATATATTATTTGCTTTTCAATCGAATGGGCTCAGAACTAACTTTTCCGTGCAGGAACTAAGGAATTGATATATCTTCTAATGCGTACTTCAGTTCCGGTTATGACAATAAGCTTTTAATAAAAAGTATTACACAAAAGATATAAATGACAACATACGTGTGTAGAATCTGATCCTAGTTGGTTTTTCAAATTTTTAGATCTCCCTGGTGCGTAATATAAACCCAAGGTTTTTATGCCTCTTTTTTATATGTGAAGGTGTTTTTATGGTGAAGGCCCTTTTCGTCGTAGCGATTATCTGGATATAAATTCCTTGCTCTTGGCCTTTGCCTAATAAATCGGAATGGAATATCTTAGATATTTATTGAAGAGTTCAAAGTTAATTTCAATCCGATCTCAACGTAATTAGTCTTCAATGAAAACTAATCAAATTCTCTACAAATCTCCTGTGAATGATTTCAATATAGCTTCAATAGTTTTGCAGCTACACAGTCTTTTGACTATGATTTTTCCCATTTTACCTCACAACAATGTTAATAATTTCGTCCGGCCTTTGTGCTAGGTAATGCTTGTGTTTCGGCCCACCGAGTCTGTTGTGACTACAATGCAATTTTTCCCAGACTTTGATTGGTATGGGGTGTAATTAGTCTATTGGTTTTCTATGCTGTTGCCCTTTACGTACTTGGTAATCCGGACATTCTTTGATAAATTTCTCTATGTCTTTCTGTTGTCTGTCCCAAAAAAACGGCCTCCTGTAGGTTCGGAGTGGTGGAAATCTTGTGGAAATATATAATTTCCCCGACGAGGTTTCTAGGTATGACTAAAAGGTATTCCCTTTCCGTTTGATTGTGATTTACTTTATGAAGAACTCCGTTGATCAGCCTAAAGGCTTTCAGACTTTCGGTCTTTTTCGTAGTCCTATAGGAACGTTTTCTGATATTTCAAATGCCTCAATGATTTTATTAGTCTCCGTATCCTCCTGTTGAAATTTGCCATTTTCTTCTTGGTCCATGATGACTGTTGGAATTTCGCTTATTTCGTCCTGCTCCCTTGATTGTAAAACTGGGTAGCGACTAAGGATGCCGCCTTTGAAAGTAAGTTGAACCGGAAAATTAAGAAAAAACCTTATTGGAAAAGAAAATCCTACAAATCTGATAACAGATGCATTACACTTTACTATCTATCAATCTTTACACAAGTAGGTACCCCCGGCATCACCGGATAATGCTTGAGGTTGGGAAGTGAGACGGTTGGAGAGAGAGATCCAAGGATATTACACACTACACAGGATAGAACAACCATAGGATAGCCTATCCTCATAAGGCCTCTGTGGATCAAATCCTAGCCCCCCACCACGCCAACGTACCAGTGATGACGTATCATCATCCTCGCCTTAACGTAGGGTGTTTGCACCACAAGCTATAATTCCGCTGACTTTTGCGTTATGCATACTTGGTTTCAGTACCTACATTAATCAATATTCTGAAGCAACCCTTTTTAAATCACGTTTGCATCTTCCTCCTTGCCTATTAGGTTCTTCTTCTTCTTTCTCAACACGTAGCTATCCACTTCTGCATGTAGATCTCTCCTCTCTCAAATGTTTCCATGTCTCCCTGTTCTGTGCTGTACTTAACCAGTGCTTGCCTGCCACCTTCCTAATGTCGTCCACCCATCTTTTCTGCGGGAGTCCTATGCTTCGCTTGTTCTGCCTAGGTCTCCAAACTGTTTTTATATGTGCCCATCTACCTTTATCTAATCTGGCCAGGTGACCGGCCCACTGCCATTTCATCTTAGCCACCTCTTGTATTATATCGGTTATACAACTCACTGTACATTATTCCCATATGACACGAGAGGATTAATAAGTGATAATCCTTCCCATATGACACGAGAGGCTCAACAAGTGATAATCCTTTTGCACGGTAACTGGTGTTTTGACATTTGTTGACAAAAAATTTAAATTTTTGATTGATGAAATTATTAATTAATAAAGAATTAAAGTTTAGTTCGTTGTATAACCTTTTGAATACCACTCGATTTTTCAGGATTACCTAATACTTTTACCTGACACTTATCCGGTAATCCTGAAACCTCTTGTGGTATTACATTCGATAACTCTAGTTTGTCTTCTGATATCTTTATTCCTAATTTTGTCGCGAAGGGAGAACAACGACCGCTAGCGCAAACAGTTAACCGACACCGTTGATGACGTCGGCAACGGTGCAACACCATATGACCTTGATTCCAAAAATCGAGGCAGATGAGCAATCCTGTAATAGTATGTAATATCCTTGAGGGAGATCGTGGACGAAAACGACGCGACGAAAGAATTTCTCCCAGAGCATCCGTATTTGCTGTTGCTAAATCTTATTTTTTTTCTTGGACGTAAGAATTATTTTTACGTTTTTTTTGAAGTGCGTTTTTTTTGTTAAATGCGGATTTACCTGAAGAAAACACCTAGTAATCCAGAGCCCGGAGACCATATGTGAAAACCCGTAGACTCCGGGGGAAACCCGGAGAGGTGGCAACCCTAAGCGACTCATGCAATCTGTGTCTTTGTGAGCTACACCGCTTTTGTGAATTATTGTATAATCGAACGACCTACGGTCTATTGTGGCTCACTCCGAGTTTATATTTCCCCCATCGGTCCAGCCCTTCTTATGAAGGTGGAGATAAGTGTGGGGGAAGCATGCTTTATGTATTCGGGTCGAACAGCTGACTTCCCGAAAACAGCATGCCTGATTCTGCCTATCACCAGACACGTGCATAGGACGTGTTTCTGCTGTTTCATTCTCTTTCATGCATAGGCGACACTCGGCACTTTGTACTATCCCGATCCTGTGCATGTGATAACGGAGTCTGCAGTGTGCAGTGTACAGCCCCACCAGGCACCAGTGCTTTGAGGCTCTTCCTCCCCATTCCCAGAAGTGTCTCTGCCACTTCCCCCCCTTTTGGACAGGGTACAAAGGATTTTGCATGGTTCATGCCTGGTAGTCTCGACCAATATTGTTTGGCCTCTGTATTGGCCCAGGTCGAGATTTTGAAGTTAGCCGTATTCAGGGCTATTCCCAGTACTGGCTCCGGTCCAATGAAGTTAAGCTCCGATCCAGCTTTTGCAAGTTGGTCCGCTTTTTCGTGCCGTGTTGATTTATTTAATCCACAAGCACCGTGTGTTGCATTGCGCTTTTCCCCTCCAAAGTGATTTCTGAAGCATGCTACAGCCGATAGGTTGACCTCATTGCTACCCTCTTCACGTATATGTGGAGTGGAGTCAGGTTTATGAGGACTTCCATGGCTGCTGTAGGCCTGTAACGCTCCCGTTATCGCCAGGCAAGCTATTCTCTGCAGTCTGCTAAGTGTGGTTTGGGCCCTTTTCTGATTCGCCTTGCTCTACCATACTACAGAGCCATAGGTTATCATTGGTCTGATAACCATGGTGTAGATCCAGTGAAGCTGTTTTGGAATTGTTCCCCGGGTCTTTCTGCAGATCCTGTGGCAGTTTCAAAGCGACAATTTTGCCTTTTGGCTTACTTTTTCCAAATGAGCGTTGCAGTTTAGAGTCTTGTCCAGGATGGCTCCCAAATACAAAATTGCTTCATTTGAGAATGGTACTAATTCTGTCCGATTAGTTAGGGATACCAAGTTATCAAGTTTTCTTCTCCTTGTGAAGGGTACTATGACGATTTTGTGAGGATTGATTGTCATTTCCTCTCTCTCGCACCAATCAAGCACGCAGTCTAGCACCTCTTGAAGTGCAGTTGAGACCCTCGTCTCAGAACTACCCTTGGCTATTATAACTAGATCGTCCGCATATGTTTGAACCTCGACCCCCCACAGTTGTATCACAGCCAGGAGGTCATCCACCAGAAGTGATCACAGAAGCGGGAGAGTACCCCTTCCTTGCGGACA